CATTTTATTAGTTAGATTTTTTTTTTTTTAAAGTATTTTTCACTATAGCATTTACAGCTGTGTACCTGTAAGACCTGGAGCGTGCTTAGCATTTCGAAAAGGAGGACATTATTTTTCTTCTCTGTCAAATTAGAAGGTAGTGTGCTGCAGGCTTAGACTTTCATTTATACATTAATAGATGGAATTATAACTCTTTAAAAAAGCTTATTATTTATCAATGTATATCTAAAGCTTCTGAAGATTTTTGGATGCACCACAATGGAGATTGTTGCAGGGCACACAGAAAAAGAAATATTGGGGCAAGTGTTCCCTAACAAAGCCTGGCGGATCAGCATCTAGGGAAAAGCACGTTTATTCCTCAAAAGTTTTTGTCTTTGCAACTCAACTTGCATTTGAGGGCTAGCTCATCTTTACTATTTATGTTTTTGTAGTCGCAATCTTAACATTCAAGGCAATTTTTTCATGGGAAAGTTTAAGATAGAAGCAGATCTTTTAACTGTATGGAGCTGTCTGAGGAAAGCAAGTGGTTAATAAGAATGAGCTATATGCCACTTTTGCAAATGCAGATACTATTTCCATAACCACATCTTCAATGTTAGTTTAAATTGAACAACTTTACAACCTCTGTTGTCCAAGACAATCTTGGGGAATAGAAGAGTCAGTGTGACTCTTAAATTAGTCTAAGGTTATCTTTCTTTGATCTTAATGCTTCTCTTAATCTTCAGGATATAAAGCATTTGAGACGTGACCTCTCATCTTGTTTGCTTAAATAAGCTTGTTGTAGATCACTTTGAAAGAAGTGCCTTGAAATGTGAAATGCTGGACAGCTTTGACACCTGGTAAAGAATATATCATCTTAAATTATGGATTACTTGACTTTTTTTAGTAATATTATATGGAGAATTTATGTTTAATTATCGTAAAGTAGTTCATAAATAAATATGAAACACCCCATTAATTCTTCTGTTATTAGAAAAAGTTAAAATAAGTGCAGTTATATTTTCATATACAGCATAATATTATTAGTCTAGTCTACAGTAGACTTTTCATAGTCTACAATAGTCTACTATTGTTAGTCTAGCTTTTGAAGGAGTTCAAAAGGAATTCTCTGTCCTCTGAAGATCATGGGTTTAGCAGCAAAGGAAACAACACACTGTAGGATTTGATCCTAGGACTCTTTTCCAAACCCCAAACTACCTTATCCTATCTTTTGTCCTACCAACTTCAAAAGAAAAAGGTCTAGAGGCAGCTGTCATGTACTTAGAATAACTCACTCTGCTACTCAGTTAACTCTTTCAATCCCCCCTCCCCCAAAAAGAGCAACTGGAGTCTGAAAATGATCTGATAGTATTGTACTCTTCATACAACTTACCTTAAATTGAGAGACCTTAGGCAAGTTAAGTCCTAAGTTTATCAGAAAATCATAAAGTACCCAGAAGGAGATGAGATTTCTATTTGTAGAAACAAAGGAAAATAAAAACGTAAACCTCAAGGAGACACTTAATGAAAATACTTTGCAACTTCAGCATAGTCCTGGTAAAATGAAAATTGTATATGAGCTTTAAGTCTTA